AGTGCCAAGTTCTAGACACATCTCAAGGAAAGTCGGTTGGCCTGAGATTATTCTGTTGCAATTGTCTATCAGCACAAGGATAATGATACATAAATATCTGCTCCTGTTCTCCTGAGCTGCAGTTTGCTAAACAGCAGGGAACTGAGTGATATGTAAATGACATGCAAACACAAATGCCACAGCATACAGTGCTGCATCCAATGGGATTTTATAACTATAGAAACAGGACTGATTCAGCTGTGAAGTTTTGTTTTTAAATATAGGGTAGTTCTGGCTTTCTGTTCCATTCAACAGCACTTGGATGATGGCCACATAGTGCAGGGAGAGTGGAGTGGGCTGGTGGCAGCACAGTTTAAGGGCGAGCTGCTCTACCTGCAGAATTAGCAAAGGAGTTTGTTAATGGCATTAAATAACCAGCAGCAGGTGACTTCGGTTTCAGTCAGAGAACTGGTGATTCTGGTTTTCACAGTAGGTATAGCAAAGGTATCAGTATTGCATAGTGGTGTGTGTATGTCGGGGGGGGGGGGGCAAGGTGGAGGGAAGCAGACTAAGCAAATGTTGTCCCTAGAGGCAGCTTCAAACTGTGTCTGAGAGTATACCAGTTGCTTTATCCATGTATCTGAGTGGCAAGCGGTACCAAGGGGCAAAAACCACCCTCTGTTAAAGATGCACAGCTTCTCTGGGAAAGGGGCTGCTGGAGTAATTAGTAGAGTGGGAGTGCTGCAAGCCACTGACATGTAAATCTTGATGGAAATTCCTTCAAGCCAGGGGCTGGTGTCAACACCCTCAGCAGTCATAGTTGCAACAGCTATGCCCTCATGTAGCATGCACCGGGCACGGGCAAAGGCTCTAGTCAGTCACTTTTGTTTGGGTCCAACAATAATGGGCCAGCAGATAATAAGCTGAAATGCTGCCACCTTAAACCAAAGACAGTTCTTTCCTCCAAGTAAATCTGTATAGAACCAAGCCAGCTGCAGCATTTCTAGCTAAAGCCTCTACCTTGCTGTTCATAAGCCTACAATCCTAAATGCAAAAAAACTGCATTAATTCACACCATCTCCTCCAACCCATAACACTAGCAGCATAAGCTACACCTGTGCTCCTTCAGCCTTCCCAGGGAGCTGGTATAAGTAGAAGCCTCTTTACCACAGGCAAAGGGCAAAAAGCTTAGCATGGCCCACTAGATGTAGTGACACTGCCTTGGTCCTGCTTCTGCCTTCAGCCAACCTGCCACACAAACAGGTGAGTCACTGTGGTGGGAACTGAGCATCACTTAAAACCCGGAGGCTATGTCTACACTGGCGGGTTGTTGCGCCAGAACTATGCAAATGAGGCTACGAGTGGAATATCGCCGAGCCTCATTTGCATACCTAATGAGCCACCATTTTTGCGCAAGAGGCTCTTGCACTAGAAAAACCCTCTTGCACAATGCTGCTACGCTGATTATTTTCAGGAATAACGGCATTGCACAAGAGGGTTTTTCTTGCGCAAGAAAGGGCAGTGTAGGCAGCTCCTTCTAGCACAAGAGCCTCTTCCGCAAAGATGGCAGCTCATTAGGTATGCAAATGAGGCTCAGCAATATTCCACACATAGCCTCATTTGCATTCTTCTGGTGCAACAACCTGCCAGTGTAGACATAGCCAAAGGATGGAGCTTGCCAGTACCATGCAGACAGCAGCCCAGCTTAGGGAAGAGTGGATTTTATAGCTGCTGAAGAGCTGCTCACCACTGTTTCTCCAAGGAAATCCACACAAAATCCCAGCGCAGGAGATCATTATGTAACCTTTAAGCTGTTACAGGGCTTTACCTGCTACTTGTTCCTGGCCCCACACAGTAAAAAGAGGCACAAAGCGTTTCTTACAGGAGTTTCTCATGACCAGTGCACTGCCCCCTCAGGGTCACAAGTGAAGTGAATTTACTGTGCTCAGTCCTGTCCCTACTGTCTGCAAAACAAAACCAACATGGGATTTGCATGCATGGCAAGCTGGCACCTCTCACAAAAATACCACCATAGCAGGGAGGGCAATGGCAGAGCTAATGGGTGGGGGTGCAGAACCACCCCAGGAGCCAATGCGTGTCTGTGTGGAATCTCAGCCTAAGCCATTTGGTATAACTGAAAGTGGCAGGGAGATGGTGGAGGCCAGGTTAGAGGTGCACTGGTAGGGCCCACAGAACCTAACCCGGCTCGATACTTTTCACAGGCACAAGAGAGGGTTTTAGAAGTGTCCAAGCTTCCTCGCTGGAAAGTGTCAGGCTGCCTGTTAAATGATTAAAACAGTAGCTGTCCTGTGTTGCAGGAAGTTTTTCTTCTGCTAAGGTAGTTGAGAGCAACGTGCTGCATAAGCCAAAGTACTTCTCCTGGCCCCATACTAGAGACCATGACAGCTTGGTACAGACTGTCTCTGTGAGAAGCAAGAAGGAGGAGGCTGTGGGAAGGGAAGTAGATGAAAGCTGCTGCTGCTGCTGCAACAGAACAGGTGGAAGTGCCTGGTGAGTCCAAACCCCCCTCCCTCACCCAAACTCCCTCTCATACCCCTCTCATGCACCCCAGTCCTATCCGAAGCTCCGTTCTACCCATGTCCCAGACTCCACAGCCCCTCCATAGAAGTGCAGCCCTGGACCAACCTTGGAATGCCCCCCCCCCATCAAAAATTATTGCCTCTCTCTAAACTAGACAAAGGAATTTTTTAAGCCCCTATTTTTCACACTGATTCCTCACAGAATAATGCCAAAGAAGGTGGCTTTGTATTGATTTTAAGGGTTAGTGATTACCTGTGCAAGGCTGGAAGAGAGTTGGAAAGGAAGGACACTTAGAATACACCCATCACACCAGAAAAACACACACTTTGACTACCATTGTGCTTTGCTAGAATCAGAAATAAGCACCCAAAGATAATGAGGTGTTAAAAATTGCTACTACGTAGGGGCCACAAATATTTTCAACACTCTCACCCCTGATTTGTGCTACAGGGGCTCCTGCCACATCCAACATTGAGATTCTTTGTGACATCTCAGACACTTTCCCCTCTCTTCTGATTGCCAGATTCAGGGATATCTGTTCATCTGCAGCAAAGGCCACCTCCACTGACTTGTATGATTGTATCCCATCACAACACAGGACGTGCAGCAGCTTAACTCTCTCCTTTGTCAAAAGCTCAGTAGGAACAGTGATAGAGCAGTCAATGCCTAGAGTACTGCCAAGTGGAGAGAGCAGGTTGGTGAGCAGACGTGGTGTGCTCTGAATTGCCATAGGTGTGTGTGTGTTTTTAGCTTGGTCATGTTTAGGGTGAATTTAGCACTGCAAAGATGTAGGCTCACCATTGCTGGAATGTGCCTGCCTCCGTTTAACCACAAAGGAAGTATTTTAGTGCAGTCTAGACTGTGGTAATTCAAGGTTCCTCTCATCCTAACCTTGACCAGGAGTGTATAATGCATGTGTCACCTTTATGAGGGAGATCATCTGTTCTAGGAACCTATTCATTTGGCCTGATTGGGAGAGAGCAGCTAAGTGTTAGAAAGTGGCTTTCAGATGCTTAGCTTAAGTCAGCTGGGAACAGGTTTAAAGTAGAGGATGCTACATGCCTCATTTAACTAGATATTTATTTTTTAGAGCTGGTTTAAGTTAAACCACTGCCTTCAGTCACTAGTGCACTGGGCTGATTTCAAACCACAAACGGGTGAAGAGCTCAGACTCTCCAATAATCCACAGCCCCTCTTACTACAGTTTGCATGCAATGTGACTGAGCAGTATATGCCTGTCAATCGCATTGCCTCACACCTCTGATTTGTAAGTTTGTCTCAGTGAACAATTGTTCATTGTATTGTTTTAGTACTTCATCTTGCCCTTTGCTTGTGTAGACTATGTAGGCAAGTTGCTGAGTGAAGTGCTACCACAGTGCTGCAGTGAAATCGTACACCAAGCACAGAACTTTCTCTCTAGGATGGCAAGTGTGTCAATGCAGAGCAGCAAAGAGGTACGGATTATGTCACAATGGAAAAGCTTCTGCCTAGGCATGTCTATCACCTATTCTATTTAAATAACCCCACAGATTTCCCACCACCCCAGTTTACTTAGTACAAAGGTCACTAATAGTGGTGGTCACCACATAACAGTACTTAGGTAAATGAAAGCAACAAGACAAAGAATAAAGAGAACAGAAATAATAGGACTTTACAAGCAGCGCTGTTCTACACTACTGCAGGAGATCAATCTAAGTTACACAACTGCAGTTTCATTACTGATGTAACTGAAGTCGAGATATTTATATCCACTTACCGCAGTGCATTGACGAGAGATGCTCTCCCATCAACTCCCTTTGTGCTTCTCTTTGAGATGGAGTATTAAGAGTCGATGGAGAATGACGTGGTTAGTTTATCGTGTCTGTACTAGATGCAATATGTCAACCTCAGAAGGATCAATCACTGCCTTGTTGATGGGACTGTAGTCAAGGGATGCCCACGGTGTAGCAGATAGCCCTGCTTCACAGAGATTACAGTCTAAACAAAGGCTGGAGCAAGGACAAATTCTGCAATGCCCAGTCTGTCTTATCTAAAACCAAACTCAACGCCTGCTTTGAACCTGTCCTCCCTCCCGCAATAAGGACTAAAATCTGTCCCTTCCATATGTTACGTTTACTTTTAGTTACTTGAACTTCAGTCTCTGCATTTGCTATATCAGTCCTACCAGTGTGTAGTCAGCCAGCCACACACCAAACTCCTAGTGTGACTGTTTCAAACTGAAACTTAACTGTAATGCGTAACAAAAAACAGGACTATGTAGCACTTTACAAACTAACAAGATGGTTTATTAGGCGATAAGCTTTTGTGGGCCAAACCTTTTCTTCCTCAGATCAAATTGTGAAAGAAAACTGGCACAACCGTATATACCACATATATCATTTGGTATATATGGTCATGCCAGTTTTCTTCCACTATTTGATCTGAGGAAGTGGGTCTGGCCCACGAAAGCTCATCACCTAATAAACCATCTTGTTAGTCTTTAAAGTGCTACACAGTCCTGTTTTTTGTTTAAGCTAGACCAGACTAATATGGCTACATATCTATTACTATTGTAATGCATAAGTGTGCTTGCTGTGACTGAGGTGTCCAAAGTGAAGACTGCCAGCCAATATCCAACCTAATTCTCAAATTTTTATGCATCCTCCTTTTCTTTGCATTTATCTTTTGCAGTGTTGAGTTTAAGACAACTGGACTACAGCGAACTCTCGAAAGATGTATAAAAAGCCAGGCCTGTAATGTAAGGTACACAGGGAAACCAGGTACTACAAGATTTGTGAACTTACATGTAATACAATAACTATTAAACAGGAGAGCTTAGCAAAGACTTTTCCAGGAAAATTAGCTAGAAGTTTTAGTAATACACAAAGAAAGTCAGTTTCAGAGAAATGCCACAATGTTTCTTGTTCCAAGATTTGTACACATGCTTCTTCTGTTGAAACTTACACTCTGCAAACTATTTTAAAACAAAATTCCCTGTTCTTTGCAAACTAGCTTGAACTTCCTATAATTTACAGAAAGTAATAATCATATCTGCAGAGTTCAAAGGTCTGTTAAAGTGTGGCTGAATCATTTCCTTTTACTTTGCAATGCCATAGTCCTAGGAAAATATTTGATAAGATCAGTCACATTGACAAGTGTTCAAAAAGAAATAAAAATTTTAATTAAAATACTTTACCAGAATACTTAGCTGCAATTTTATATAAATGCAGATTTCTTTTAAAGCAAGAAACTTAATAGAAAAGCATTATTTACAAATCTGATTACAAAAGCATATCTGAGCTCCTGAGATGGAATAAGGAGGGGATTCCCGCTAATTCAAAACGTCTAGGTAGAGCCGTGGAGGACTAGTACTTCTTTGGGCCACAAAGACAGTAACAAATAGAGGGTGAAGATTATTAGGAGTTAATATTAAATGCTATTGTCTGATACAAGTACCTTCTTCCTAAGATCTTTAGTTTGGAAGCATCTTAATCTGTGCCTGCCTGGATAGTCTAGGATATTAATATATTTTGGGCTGATTCTGGAAGGGATTTAATTAGATTAAGTGAACCGGTGGAGGTGATCAGGACACGTTTAAAAAAAAAAATCAATCTACAGTGCTGCTGCTCGCTATTCACTTGTATCAAACGGAAGACACACAGCAGCACTGGCGATAAAGAAAGGATAAGCCTTCTGGCCCTTACAAGTGGCACAGAGCGATACCGGTGTTTCAATGGCAATAATGGTGTCCTAACTGTTCTGCAGTGATGAGTGGAGGCTCTGGATTAGGCTTCCAGTCCTGACTAGCTGCTTCCCAGGGTTTGGATGGCAGCATTTCGGCCTGTGGATTTATGCTGATTGCCAGCAACCTCTCAGCCCATCAAAGAGCCATATGGCTAAGGTCCACAGGCAATCATTGAACAGACCAAGGGGAGCTGCACAGGCATTCAAAAGACAGGGAGGTAGAAAGAGAAAGGACAGTAAGTGGAGCTGCAGGGTTCCAGCAAATAGGTTGGGGGTAAGGGATGAGACAGAAACTAAAGCAAGGGGTACAGTGCCATCAGAGTTCCCCCAATTCACTCAGCTGCAGTGACCTGTCTCACGTGGAAACAATTCCCTGCAAAAGGAGCTCATTCACCAACGGAAGTATCCCCTGAGCTCCTGCCCCAGCATGAGATGGTTCTACAGACCAGCAAAGTAGACAAAAAGGCCCTAGATGATCTACAGTTTGAAGTAGAGGCCTATGGCTATGAAACCCAGCACCACCCAGGCCTTCCAGGAAGATTCAGTGGAGGAATGTAGTTCTCTGGAGAACAAAGCTGCATTAAGGAACATTAACAAAGCAGTAATTTTTCTTTCCCACTGAGCCATTGCTTTCCCTCTGCAGGACAGCCTATCTTTCAGGCGCCTTTGGATTGGTGGGAGGCTCCTTTTTGCAGTACTGCTTCAGTGACAGGCTCTCCACTCTGCTACCAGGAACTGAAGTCCCCAAAGCCTGTACTCCTTTTCTCTTTCTTCATAGCCACACTGGTTGAAGGCCCATCATCATCTGCTATTCGTTTTCTGCAGACAAAATGAAAACATCAGTGACTATTTATGTTAGATGAGCTAAAATCAGCTGGATTCCTTTCCCTTTTCAAGTTTGATCTAGAATGGAGCCGACCTGTCATATACAAATTAGAGATGACCTTTGGCAGCAGCACTGAGACGACATTTTCAGCAGCATTGAAGACATAGGGATTAGGTCTAGGTCATAAAAGAAGGAGGGGCCACTTAACACTTTGGAGATGGTACCAGAGTTGGATTTTGAACACTCCTGAAATGCAGAGGCTATGAGGGGGTTGAACTGATGGCTTTGGGTCAGGCCCAGCACATAAGTAAATCCAACATGCTGCCACTGTGAAAGCATGAGCCTGTTTGTTCCCCATCCAACTTTCTGTGGAATGTTTAGTGTTTTTAAAAGCAACTGGGTTTTGCAGTTAGTAGGGTGCAGTGCAAGAAGCGGAGCATAGGGCGATAATTCCCACCCCTGCCAGCATTTTGATCCAGGCCAACAGAAGCCCATGTTGTTATCTGTGGCATCTCTTCAGCAGAGCCTACGAATAATGCAGAAATGCATTTGATTTTCAGTTAACATGAGGTGGCCAATAGGGATCAGACAAACTACCAAAGGTTTCACTGCAGAACAATGTTATGTTACAGAGAAGACTGCAGGGATAAAAGATAGTGGGGAAAAAACCCACAGGAAACTGTTTGGCCCACTCAACACAAGACTATTAATCTTGCAAGCTTCCCTACATGTTTCCATAGTGGAGCAGGAAAATAATGTTAAGTTTAATAAATTTCAGCAAAATTTTAAAATAGAGCTTAACAAGCAACATTCTGTAGCTAAACTTTTAAAAGATCCAAATGATTAACCATGTATATGTGTGGGTTAAAATTACAAGATAAAATTTCAACTGAATGGGCACCAAAATATCCCAATTGCATAGACATAGAGGCTAGTCAGGAGCCCAGGTCTGTACATACAAATACATGTCTTTGTGTACACAACAAAGCAACAGCCACATTTGAGGGAGGTTTTGGTAGAAGCCTGCCAAAATGTAGTGGTACAAATTCCTTTTAATTTTTTCCAAATAGTTGAAAAGCTGTACCAAGGTTTGGCACTCTCCCTTTGAAAGTTAAGCTATCCACAGTACAAGATGTGGGCAGAGAAATGATGCTTTAGGAGTTACTTTTAACAGCTGCAGAAAGGGAAACACAAAAGACTGAATTCAGGTCCTGTCCAGGAAGCGGGGGACAGGTTCCTCAATGAAGATTGTAAATGTGTTTATAACTGTATAAAAATATTGTTAATGATGAGCTTTTACACTGAGCCTTTAAAAAAAAGTTAAGATTTTTTATTCTTTACCGATAGGGCCAGACACCGCTGACTTCTGTGATCGGTACATGACCAAGGTCCATTAGCATGAAACAAATCACTAGTAAACAAACGGTCAGTAGTGATGGATGGCAGAACAAGGTGGTGGAATCTCCATCCCTAGAGATTTTTAAGTCCCTGCTTGACAAAGCCTGGCTGGGATGATTTAGTTAGGGGTGGTCCTGCTTTGGGTAAGTGAGGAGTGAACAATTTTTGGTAGGGGACCACTCCAAGATTTTGGAAAGTGATCAAAGGCTGTACTTTTCTGTGGAGAATGCATAGGGTCTAGGAAGGAGGTTGGGCACAGAAGGGCACACTGGGTAAGGCACTGGGGTGCAGGAGACAGTGTAAAGTCTGAGAGGAAGTTTGGGCAAAGGAGGGGGTTGTGACCTGGGTCAGGGAATAGGGATATAGAGTCACGGAGGGAGTATGGGTGCAGGAGAGGATTCTGGCCTGGGAGAGGGGCACTAAGAAGGGATGCAAAGGCAAAGTCCGGGAGGGAGCTGTGACCTGGGAGAAGAGTAAAAGGGGATACAGACTGCAGAGGGTTTGGGTGATAAGCTGGGGCAGGGGATTGGGAGGGAGATTCAGGGAAGGAGTCGGGGTTCAGAAGAGGACTCTGGACTGGGGGAGAGGGCATAGAAGGTGGTACAGGATATGGAAGGCAGTTGTGAATGGGGGTGGGGTGCAGCAGGATTGAATGGTGACCTGGGGGAGGGAGTTGGAATGAGGGAGGGGCTGGGGTGCCAGAGGCAGGCTCTGGCTAGGAGGTGCTTACCTAAGCCAGCAGCCCTGCAGCTTCCCAAGGAAGGCTGGGCTCCCTGTCCACTGCAGCCTGCTCCCTCCATGTCGCTCTCAGCTCCGGGAGGTGAAAGATTTGCGATGCTCCCATCCCCCAGGCCAATCTCTCACTTCCTGTTGTCTGGTTGTTTCCATCCAATAGGAGCTGAGAGATTAGCTGTGATCAATTCCTATTGGCCAGTTGTTTCTGGCCAATATGAGCTAAGGATTGGGCTGGGAGTGGGGGAGATCGCACAGTTTCTCCCACTCTGCAGAGCAGAGAGCCCACAGACTGTGCTGTAAACCAGGCAGCTGTGTGCCTGAGGGTCCCAGCAGGGTGGTCTGTGGGCCGGATCCAGTGGCTTTGGTGGGCCCAGTCCTGTGGTAGGGGGTTTGACACAATGACCACCTGAGGTCTCTTCTAGCCCTAGGATTCTATGATTCTATGTGACAGTGACTCCGATACAATACTGAGCAATAGTTCTGAGTAGTGTTAATGCCATAGAGAAAAAGGGAGTTCCCAGTGAAAGTCAACACAAACACTAAACAAAGCACAGTTGTGCAAGGAACTTACGTTGCAGCCATATTAATATACTTCCCAATGCCCTCCCGGTAAGTTTTGGGAGCCTGGCTCTCTTTTTTTGGCAGGACAATCTTAGTTTTAGTTTTGGATGCTTCCTCCTCTTGTTGGGCCTTCTCTCTCTCTGCAGAGATCTGAGAGAAAAGAGTATAACAGTATGTTACAATAGATTAGTTTGAAAGGCGATGGTGCCTAAAGTGCTTTGTATTTGCAAAATGCTACAAAATACTGAATATTACTGTTATGACTTACATAGCTATTAACTATGTAACTGCATTAATAACTGCATGCTTAGTTATTAACCTGAAGGGGGCCACTTGGAATGGACAATCTGTGGCTATCACTCTACTGCAGGTGATACCTCTGTATTGCCTGACACTGGGAGACATGCAGGGAGGGGCCTTTATAAGTTTGCTGTATTGTGAACCTTGCCCCACTTTAGTTTCCAAATTACTAGTGTTGGAGTGGATAGTAATGTTTCTAGGAAATGAGACAGCTTCATATTGCAGCTATTCAACCTTTGCTTGCAAACACAGGGGTGAGCACCCCAGGCGAAGACAAGGGAGGAATGGAACATAGAAGTATGAATTTCCAGGGAAATGGACAAAGCTACAGTTTAAATGTACATATTTCTTTGAAAACCTATCAAACAGATGATTCACTCCTCACCTGAGCATCTGCCTCTTCATATGGATCAACAAAAACAGTTGTTGATTTAATTCGTATTTCCTCCTGGGAACAGAAAATTAAAATGAAAGCTATTGGAATCTGCTAATTAGGTTGGTTTCATTTTTCTGAAGAAGCGATGAGGAGTCCTGTGGCACCTTATAGACTAACTGAAGTGTAGGAGCATAAGCTTTCGTGGGCAAAGACCCACTTCGTCAGATGCATGTCTGAAGGTAATTTTTCTGAAGGTAATTTTTAAAAATAAGCAGCAACAGGCTGTTATACAATGAATTCAGGGGGAACACACATAACCTCTTTGTTTGGTAACCTTTTCAGTTTAAGTAGTACCTTGGGACGATCTGTTTTTGGATCGCTGTCCACATTCTCCATAGCTGTCAGAGCCTCAAAACCACCAACCACTCTAAAACAGAAGAAAGCACTTAATTTCCAGCTGTACTGATGGGATTATTAACCCCTCATTCTGGAGGAATATGTAGCAGGTGTACACTCAGCTTGAAAAGATAAATCCACATGCCTTTAGCAGCTTGAACAGCTGACCGATATACAGAAATCCAGGCAATGAGTGTCCCAATATGACTACATGGGCTCAAAGTAAAGATTTTAAAGCCCAGATGAACATTCTTAAAAATGGGAGATAAAATCAACACACTGAAATCACTGGAGGTCTCTTAATATTGTGACAGCCCACTAATACAGCACTTGGGGAAAAAAGGAATTAACACTAGGTTGTCACAAATTTTAACCCCCTGCAGCAAACTGGTTTTGATAGAAACTAGAGAATTATTTCTATTATTAAGCACTTTTGCTTTAAAAACAAACTCTGGCTCTTGATAGATTACGAATAATAAAGGCCACATCCAAAAGGAATAACTACACACTTGGCTTTAAACAGATAAGTAGACCTATTGAATTCAATGGAACTGCTCATGCACTAAAGGTTAAACATGTTACTTCTAAGTGTTTTTTTGGATTGGGACCAAAGTGAAAGATGTAAAATAATCCAATATAAGGGGTCAGAATTCATTCATTGAGAGATGACAGGAAAGGAGTCAGATGCCCTATTCACCCAAAAACTCCCGCTGGTGAATTTTCAGTGTCATATCACCTATACTAATCCTTCAGTCAGTGCTGAAAAGAGACCATACCCCACAGAGATTAAATCAAACACCAATGGTAGCTTATATTTTCTCAGTACCAAATTTATGGTCTTCTGACCTAAGTGCTCATCTTTCAATGCACGGTGTGCACACAGGTAACAAGACAGACTTCATAATATCTGATCAGATAGACTTCAATTTGTGAAGGCTAAACATTGGATCAGTATGAATTAAAATGAGGACTGTTAAAATGACATAACTTTGTATTTTACCATCAAGTTCTCTAGAATCAGTAGTGTTGTTAAAACTGATATTTTAGAAGTAGGATAACACAGGATTAGAGCAGAGATAATTTCGGAGTCTTAATGGAAGGAGACTTCTTCAATGAGGAACAGCTGGCAAACTTACACAGAATAAATCTCAACTCTTTCGCTCAATGTAAAGAGGGAAATGTGACAAAAAAGTACTTAGTACAGGCTGTAGATCCAAATTAAGTCCATCTCAAAAGCATGTAATAAAGTTATAGATCAATATAAATACAAATGCTTTTGCAGAAAGAAACGTTTCTTTCTTAAACATCCTTTTAAGTATGGGGTAGCCGTGTCAGTCTGGATCTGCAAAAGCGACAAGGAGTCCTGTGGCAATTAACAGATGTATTGGAGCATAAGCTTTCGTGGGCAAAAACCCACTTCGTCAGATGCAGTCCCAGCTGGCGGTTCTGTTCTGCTCTCCACCATGGTGGCCACCCTCCGCCAGGACTCCCCTCCCCAGTGCCAGCCCAGCCCCTAAATGTAGCCAGCCAGGGTGCTCTGATCCAGCAATATTTGTGGTCCTGCTGGAATATCTTTTTCTTTCTCTGTCAGGAGCCATGTCAGCAAGGGTTTTTCTTTTGTTTTGCTTCTCACTGGTGTGTGGCCTTCAACTGATTTTTTTTGTGGGTCAGCAGCCCAAAAAAGGTTTACACCCCTGAAGGCTTGGATGGATTAGATTTGTCTTGGTAAATGATGATAAACATCAATTACACCATACACCCAAACCTATACAAATATTTCCTTTGAACAGAAAAATTATTCTTATGTTCTTGATTTTACTATATTAACCTTGTATACTAGGATGTGTTACATTATGAAGCTGTAATTTAATCTCAAGGTCTGCTATCATTGTCTGACCCCTCTATAATTTCCCATAAATTATAAGTTCCCACAAAAACTCCAAAAAATTTAAATCAATAGAAACATGCTTAAAAATGAACGTGGATATTATCTGTCAAAATAATAAAAATCCAATTCTGCCAAGCTTAATTATATCCTGTTATTGCCAAGATTCATGAAGTTATAATCCTAACATCAACATGACCAAGATTCAATGCACCTAACCAATATACTTATGCTCATTAAAGCAATTATTTCACGTATACTGAAGAAATAAACATGCTAGAGAAGTAACTTGAGGGTTTGGTGGGTGAGAGACTGTCTATTCTATTACACAAATCCTGTGCATAAATTTTATGTCTTGCAAAGGAACACAGAAACTACATATGGATAAAACTTACAGATCACAAGAAGGGCTGGCCCGAGCCATTCCTGTGCCCAGGAG